CGCAGGCCAGAAGAAACGCAGGCTCTGGATACGAGATTGACTGAGAGGACTAAACTCTCAACAACGCAAAGAGTGCTTTTACTTTTTTTTTACTTACCCAACTGTTGTCAAGGTAACAAACGACCACCAAACGCCTTCCAATGCCCCAGGGCAAAACGTAGGTGGAAACTGTTTGCGATTCCATGCTGCATCCTAAAACATATATAAATCATTTATAATGACCAAATGACGGCTAAGAAATCAAGATATGCCTACATTATACAGTAGCTCTCTATCWTTCGGTCTTTACTCTTTTCTTGTAAACTTGGGTAGATCTCTCACTGGACTGGTTTTGTATTTTTTGTTTATTTACGTCTTGCTCCTGACCTCATTACACATTCAAGGGCAATAGAGGCTTTGCACCATCACGTGCCGGTGCCCATAATACTTGGCCTGCCTGTGGTTCAGTAGATGGAAGAACAATAAAATCGCTTTGCTTATGTAAAACGATTGTATTGCTTCTTGCAAAGCTTCACTATACATTAGCATTCAAGCGGTCTTCTTGATCTAGATAAAGCCCTCTTCTTGATCTAGATAAAGCCCTTGAAGTCGTAATGAGCAGGGTAATAACATAGAAAACCGTGTCAAGTATGTAATATATTTGAGATTACATGTGCCTTCGTTATGATTGATGTGATATGCATTAGTACGGTGTGCAGGCCGGTACTTAAACTCGAATGACGCGCCGCAATTTTATTATTTTGTAACAGTAATTAACGTCAAAAACGACCTTAGTTTATGATTGGTAATGATTAAGTGAGCATATAATTACACTCTGCGTGGCTCGTTTTTGGCGCCTTATCATGGAGAAGCGTGTTCTAACAAGTAAGCATTAATCGGTTCAAAGCCATTAAGCCTGGTTTTCACTAGCGACGGAAGCAGAAACGGAAGCAGAAGCAGAAGGAATGGAAGGTTTCCTTTTTCTTATGCTTCTTCCTCTGCTTCCGTCCTTACTTAGTGAAAACCAGATTATTATGCTTCTGTCGCTAACATACAGAAGCACAAAGTGGTAAGCCAATCGAATTCTCGTACTCAGTCCCCTGCACATATTGGATTCTTGCATAAACAATGGCTTCCTTTTTTTTTCTTCTCAAGCTTCCGTCACATTCATTTTCACTAGAACATAACGATCTTATGCTTATGCTCATGCTCTCATCGGTCGTTCCAAGCTGATTTTTCCACAAAATACCCCTAGAAAACATTGTAAAGACTTTCATTGTAAAGTATTCGCTCGGAACTCCTAGCCTCTGGCTAACAATAGCGTTGGGCCATTTGTAGTACTCAGTTTAGAGTTATGTCATGCTTGCTTCCTGCTATCCGTCACGCAGTGTACGCATTGTCTTTAGGATAAGAATGACAGAAAGACAAAGAGAACAGTGTTCTTTTTTTCAGTGTGCAAGAACGAAAATGCAAATACCGGATAAAGTAGATCAGTAAGACGGTAAATTTATCACAATTTGGGTCATGTTGCTGTTCCACACTTGATCAAAGTCCGTGAGAGATAAGGTGTAAAGTAATCTTATCTGGGAGGGAATAATTGTGGCCATTTCTATAAGATGTGTCAATGTTGTTTGATGCTGAATAAAGAAACGAAGTTCAAGTGTCAAAATTTGGCAGTTGGCTTTCTGAGAAGTCAGTCAAAAATTCACATAGTGTGTAAATATGTCAGGGCTGTGTTTGAAGAACGTGTGAAAATAATCTTTTTTTTTTTGTTTTCGATGAAAAAGGGAAAATATCAAGAACAAACATGAAAAGGTGACTTGTACATATAACGAGAGTAGATGAGATGTGAGGAACGTATTTTTAGTATTTTTTAAGCAATGCATTGCGGGGGAAATGTGTATATACAATAGTATAAAATCGACTAAAAATAGCTATCCGTGAGGGCTATCTAGTGGAAAAAAGTACAATTTTTGATTAAAATATCTCAACTGAAATAGCACGATTTAAAAAAAAAAAAAGAAACATCTGCACGAGACGCATGGGAAGATTGAAAACCTTTTGACACCCACAACCAAAGTTATTTTCTTTACCTTTGTTGGGGRAAAATGGAATCGATCGTATCTTGGTGTTTATTTAGAAACAAAACTGTCAGTGGCTCATGTAGTAGTTTATCTTCCTATCAAACCTAACGTGTGTTCAGCAAAGCTACCCAGGATGTTCTCTCACGAGTTACTTAGGTAATCGTAAACACGGCTTCATTAGCTTGCTGTTTGATTTGTATGTTTTTGTCACACGTTATTGTTTTCGTGTGCGTTTTCTTTCTTTTTTCCTTTTTCGTTCTTTTTCTTCTTCTTCTTCTTTTTCTTTTTTTTTCCTTCTTTTTTTTGTTTGTTGATATTTTTGTTGTGTATTTATTATTCTAATTTTACCGAGAATTGCAAATTACCAAGAATATCGGAAGCATGTAAATTCATTAACTTCGACTTATGAAATCAAATGTTGAACTAATGAACCATAGTCCTACTATACATTAGTATCAGTTCCGTACATTTGAAGCGCGAGGTTTGAAGGTTAAATTGAAAGTCCTAAAGGCAAAACCTTCTGATCAGAATATCGGAAGCATGTAAATTCATTGACATTTACTTTGACTTATGAAATTAAATGTTGAACTAATGAACCATAGTTCTGCATTAGTAGAGAGTTTTAGATTTACGCTCACGGCGAACGTGAAACGTCAGTCGACCAGTAAAAAATTCTTTTAAATTACTGAAAAAGAATCGCAAAAAAGTCCAAGTAGTAGAAAAACAAAAGAGTATTTGCGCTTGGTGAGAAGGTTTGTAAAAGGTAGAGTAAAATAAAGGAAAACTATGAAAACGTGGTCACGTTTGCCGTTTGCGGGGAGAAAAAAAAAGTCAATCTAAAACTCTCTAGTATTAGTTCGGTACATTTGAAGCGCGAGGTTTGAAGGTTTAATTAAAAGTCCTAAAGGTAAAACCTTCTGATCAGAATATCGGAAGCATGTAAATTCATTGACATTTACTTCGACTTATGATATAAAATGTTGAACTAATGAAACATAGGTCCTACATTAGTATTAATTCCGTACATTTGAAGCGCGAGGTTTGAAGGTTTGATTAAAAGTCCTAAAGGCAAAACCTTTCGATCAGAATGCTTGAATTAAAGAAACCCTAGAAATAATATACTAATTTTGCGCGATAACATCAAGTCCCATTCTCAGAACACACATAAAAATAGCACCAAATCCTTTTATAACGCTATCTGCATCAAGTTTAATAATAAATTGCTAAATCAATAGAATAAATGGTTATATTTTTCGATGCGATTATGTAGATCTAGAGCGGGCGGTTGCGCTCGTGTTATCAATTACGCCTAAAATTTTCTCTTTGAATTTTTCATTACCTTAATTTTTCTATTCATTAACTTTGTTTTGGTTTCCAGGTTTGTTTTTGTTACATTTAAAATCTCTGCAAGTTACGAACAATGTTTTCAACTCCTCTTTGCATAATACGCTTCAAATGTCTTTTTTACTTCATAATTTTTCATTCCTTTATTATTACCTACTTGAGTTACCATACTCAATGATAGGAAGAGCTTTTCTTTTTTCTAGTGGTTTTCAAATTACTTTAAAATCTCTATAAGCATACGAACAATGGTTTCAACTCCTCAATATGCATATGACGCTTCAAATGTCTTTTTTACTCAATGATTTTTCATTCATTTATTAATACCTACTTGAGTTACCGTGTTCAATGATAGGAAGAGTTTTTGTTTTTTTTCTAGTGGTTTTCAAAATAGGAGGAAAAAGGTGCAAAGGACATTTCCGAAAGGTCTTCAAATGTCAAAACAATTTTGACTTAAACAAAAGCTTTTTTCGAGTTTGCTCTGTCATGAAGTGATTAGTCTTCCTCTGCCGCTTTCAGTGAAAAACACTTTTAAAAACATACGTATGTACTTAAGGAATATAATAACTAATTTAAGCTTTAAAAAGTGTTCCTCAAGACCTTGGGCCGTTGCACTTATAGATCTTTTATTTTTAGTTTTGAAAATTTTAAAACTCAAGTGGTTTGATACTTCTTTGAGATGTAACCTTGGCTTCGCATAAACAATCAATCTTTTCCTAAGAAACAAAATTGATTAAAATATGGATTTGAGGCAGTTGATATTAAAATTTAACGCTAAGATATAAATTAAACTCTTGCGAAAGAAAGTAAATTAAACTTTTGCGAAACAAAGTGAAGTAATAATACTTTCTCATTAGTAACTGATAAGAAGTTTTCTATTATTTTAGCTTTTAATGAAAAATCCCACATAAATTGACCCAGTTTTGTCAACAAAAAACCTGCTCGAACCTGTTATTACTTATATCTTATTTTTGAAGTTTCCCAAACTTAATTGCTTCTTCTATTTAGAATATGTAATGATAAAAGGGTAAATTTTACACCGTGAAAAGATGAACAAACTTATTGACGTTTCGGACGCTAGTCCTTCGTGGAAACGTCCGAAACGTCCGAAACGTCAGTAAGTTTTTTCCATCTTTTCACGGTGTAAAATTTACCCTTTTATCATTACTGTTTTTTAGAAACACCGACGCAGCTCACACCAGGTTTTACCTAGTTATCTCTATTTAGAATATGCATGGTTAAGTTAACAGGCCGAAAAAGTTATGAAAGATTCATAGATCGCTTTGCCAGCCGGTTCAATTAAGTTTAATCAATATAGTCCACCCAAAGGTTGTTTTAGGGTTCTATTGCTTTCTTTGTTAGTTTCAGGTTTAATATCATTTCCAACATTTGCACGTCAATAGATGTCGTTTGCACATATGCATAATGCATCGTTTTTCGGGCGAGTGCGGCTGGCAGTCTATGATCTTCTCCAAAGTTACTTGTTTTCTAAACCGTCTAAGATAAAAGCAATTAACAAATATAATAAATGGATGTTTTTTAATTCTACACGGTGTTACACGGAACAACTTGCAACACCGATTTTTCGTGCAACGCTATTGCGCCATTTGTGTGTCGATTTTTTCGACATGTTACACCGGAACAACTTTTCGCGCAACATTTACTTTAGTATTCAGTCCACGCGCTGCCAACTCACTCACGGCTATCTTTTTTCTTCTTTTCTTGCTTTTATCATTTTTCATCAACTACAAAAGTTTTATCTTGTCTGTTCAGTTCAGTAGGTTTAGACAATTATTGCAGTTGCTGTACTTGCTGTACAGGAGCCATTTTGTTGCGCGCCAAATCGGCGATGGACATGTTACACACATCGATTTGCTGAAAATTCCTCATCTTGTGTTGCAAGGTGGTGTTACAAGGACCAACTTGCAACGCCGATTTTTTGCGCAACACTGTTGCACGAAAAATCATTGTCGTGTAACATAGCGCCGAGGAAGATTTTTTCGCGCAATTTTTCACTCTGCAACACGTTGCAAGTTTTTGATCTGGCTTCAAAAACTTGCCTTTAAACTAGACGTTTTCAGTTAATTTATATTTTTTTACGAGATAAGAATTTTTTTTAGCCTCAGATGCGTTTTTGATGATTCGAAATTATCAATAGGCTAGATTGCTTTTCATCGTAAAGTTGTAATTATTTTGACTGCATCCGCTTAGCGAGTGCTTACTGTAGTAGATCTAATATTACTACATGATAAATTTTAAAAACATTTATATAGCCTCCAGGCATAGAAAATAGTCAAAATAGCCATCAACAAAAGCTGACTAACCGGCTTTATTGAATCGAATCGAAGCTATTTTGAAAAACTACTTTGTCGTGAGATTATAAATTTTTTTCTGTCGCTTGCTAATGAATACATTTAAAGTTTAAAACTTTTTAAAATATATAGGCAAATCTGAAGTCTGAGACTGAATACAGAGAATAGGACGCTGCCAATTGTAATATTCCCACAGCCGGCAAACAACGTAGTTTCCTTCATAATGAAATACGAAGCATTTTCTTTGAAATGCGATTTTTCTTATTGTAGCCACAAAACATTAAAACCAAAATAATAATAACAATATTGATATGTCAGTGTAAAACTGATACTGTAATTTCGCAATGTACGACCAATAATTATCGAAATATTTGTATGATTCTGATACCTAATTGCAAGAGAATTAGCGGCTATCAGATGGTTGATTTGAGTTTCCATCGCGGATGTCATAAAGTCTATGTTTGTAGAATATACAACAAATTTGTTAGACTTCAAAAGTTACCAAGGAAATGATGTCATTATTTTTTGGCAATTTGTCATGAGTTTGGCGAGTCTTGAATTAGAATAATATTGTCTCTTCATTTAGAAAGCACAGTAGATATGAGTTATGGAAAAGGTATTTGGGTTCTTCCTTTCTGACTCTTGTCTGACGTGGAATTCATGTACATGTGTTATTTTGAATAAGCTATAATACGTTGACTACTTTGACAGTACATATAAATAGTTAGCGATAAATCCGGGCGTGACAAATAATGCCATACGACACGTCAGAACTGTAATTCATTCTCATAGTTTGTAATAATTATGCAAAATTCCTAACAGAAAAAATATATGAGTTTTAAGACAAGATCTATTTTTCCCCTCAAAAAAACAAAAACAAAAACAAAAACAAAAAACAAAACCTTTCAAATAACTATTTCAAAGTTTATTGAAACTACTTGATAGGACAGTAGCTTAGATCTTATTTCGCGATCGAGTTCTTGTGAAATCAGATTTCTGTTGACTTTTAAAGTGCTCTCAAATCGAAACTTTATGTTTGTCTTTAGCCACTGACATTTCATATAAGTGATGATTCCGAAGAGACTAAAACTGACAAACATGAAATATTTGAACAGTGAATCGAGCAACGAAGAGGTCCTAAAAAGGACTTCGTTACACTGTTAACGTCGTTCGCTCTGTAGTGTCAGTGTTTTCCTAACATCCCAAAACTCCACACACTGAACTGGTGTGTTCTTCAGCTTCTGACATTATATAATCTTGCATCAGAAAAAACTTTAAAATCTTTGACTGTTTTGTTCAAACAGTTCTTTYATTCTAGGTTCAAAATTTGAGCACTTGCGAATACTAGGAATAAATAAATGAATTGAATAGCATTCTGAAGAAAACCATCTGGGCTGAATCATCAAAACTCCCAATTAAAAAGCGCGCATTTTGAACTCAGCTCCAAGATCCCAGAAACACAAGACAGATAAAAAAAAGTTATGTATTTTTACTAAAATGACTTTCAAATAAATTGATATTCCCGACTTACCAGAGACCAAACGACGATGCCAAAAATCGCTGCCAGTAGGATCGTCAGGACTGCAAGCGTCCAAACTTGTGAAAATTCATAAATGATATTTGCCTTGGCTTGAGATTCGATTTTCTTGCGATTCAATAGTAAGTATATTGCAGCTGAATCGACGACTTTGAAAAACCAGTTATTGTTTCTAATTCCTCTTTGTGGAAACGGTAAAACTATGTCAATGTCTTTATTTTTAGAACAGTTGATTAAGTCTTCTTCCTCATAGACCTGTATAGAATAGTTGAGATTTACTTGACATTCACATTTCGTAAAACCTTCGAGTATTGCATCTGATAGTATTCCTTCAACGATGCTTTTGTTACTTGGTCTATCAAAAATATAAGGTGGAGTTTTTAACCAACAAACGTTCAAGACTTTCTTGTCGATACAGCTTCGAGCCAATGGTGGTTGAGGAAGCTTTGATGGAGACGTAGTTGTCGACGAGTTGTCTGGAGTTGCTGTAGTTGTAATATTCGTTTCATTCATTCGAGACGACGCGAAAATAATTAAGTTAGTTATTAAAGTCACAGCGAAAGTAATCCCGACATGAAAAACTTTTTTTCGAAACAAAATCATGTTTGTGGGCTGATCACTGTGTAGCAGGAAATCTTTAGCTTCAGTCTGAGTAGGACTACGAAAAAAACCTGGCTTAGATCACTTGCTTCGTTTTCGAGACCTGAATTTCGAATTCTTGTACAAGCTCACTAATCGATTCATATAGGATTATTCGCAGGATGAATGTTGTTTAGAAAGCAAAACTAAAAGAAGCCAATTTTTTTCCCTGTCACACGAGAGGCAAGAGCAATCCGCTTGTACCATTCATTTCGACCAGTGGTAAAGTCAACTTAGCATGAAATGGCATAAGCTAATTCAGGCCGTTATAAAAGAGGACCATGCGTTGTTCAGTGAACCATCTGACTTACGTCGAACTTGAACAACTGATAATGTTGGGAATACTCGATCTTGATGACGGGAATAGATAAATCTAGTGAGTCATGACAGCTCAGTCGTAATCTTTCGGAGTTCGTTTTTCGTCGAGATCTCAGTGTCCACTAATATAAGACCCCTTGAAACCCCTCAAATAATAATAGCCTTGGAGTGTTGCTTAGCARCAGAGTTTGCAGAAAGCGAATACCAAAGAGAATTACCAAGGCTGCAACAGAAAAATGTCAGACGAGGTGCTTCTAAAAGTAAATTTGAATATTATCTAAAAATTTATTCATTCGTTTCTATGTCGTTCAGTTTTGTATTTTGTTTTTCAGTTCAGACTGCTTTTCTTTAGGAGCAAAGCTTTTAGGATCGAATGTCTCTATCGTTTTTGTAAGTAATATCAGACGAATCAAATGACGAAGCATCGCAAAATAAAACAGGCAAACACCATATTGCTGTTAACGGGTCAAATAAAGTGTTCAATGTGGGATATATTCTGTTAAGTTAAAATTTAAAAAATACCGTCAAAATTATCGTATGAACAAACAAACAATGGCATCTGCTCCCTGAGTAATATTTCAGAATTAAAAGAAAAGAAAACACTTTTATAGTTTTCACCGGGATRATAATTATCAGTTAGTCTCGAATAGAATACTGGTTTTTGCTTCTGTTAARATCTAGCGAAAAAGTTTCATTTTAGAATATTATTTTAGAAAGAAATTTGGCGACAAATTTGGAAATAGTTTTTTAGTATCGTAATCGTTGTCTTCGTGCCGTTCTAAATGTTCGCATCGACAAATGAGCAATTAATAAATGTTCTATCAAACTGTACAATTGTTTTGAAATATAGATAATGGTCAATCAGTCTGAAATTTGTCGTTAGAGTCAGTTAGGGGAGGTACCTTTTTTATTGGGGGAGGGGGAGGGGGAGGGGGAGGGCTGGAGCTTCAGAGGGGAGAGTCATCAGTAAAAGTTCAAAAAATAGTCCATTCTTATTGGATAAGAGGAGTACAATTAAATCCCAAATTGTACTCTGCTCAATTTCATTGAGTGTATTATAAACAAAAAATCGCACAATCTTCTCATACAATTAGGAACTTATAGATACTCGTGATGTTTTGAAAGTTCTCGAATTTTAAAAAACTTTCTAAACATCACTCGTATCTATAAATTCCGAATTATACTCGAGTTCGTGCGATTTCCTATCCAAATTGATGTAATTAGTTTGGATCTTCGTGACATATTTTCCCACTAGTTGTAGCTTCCCTCATTTTGTCACGTTTCTACCTCTATGCCAGCCAGACGGTAAAGATTGCGTTCGTGTCAGTTTATTTTATCTTCCTGTTGAATCATACTTACCTAGCAAGATATCAGTGGTAGGATCTATTAAATGAAATAAAGTGATAAAGAAAGAAATAGCCAAATATATAGATATTTTATTTATATAAATTTATTTATTTATGTTTGGTACAAAAGTATTGGTTAAGTTGCGTCTCGGACTCAGTCCAATTTATTTATGTAAGTCAATTAAAACATAGCTAGAACAATTATATACTAAGGTATAAGTGAGTAGTGGCTTGTTTTGGCACCAGCTTCGGAAATGATCCAGTCTAGGATTGCGATCAGACGCCAACTTAGACAAATCGATGAAGACACAGGAACCCCATGCACAGTTCCGTCTTTTCCATTAATAATATTAATAATCGCCTGTAGAGAATTCGCTAAAAGCTTTTTTCCAAGCATTTTATTTATGTCTGTGTTAATTCATCCAATTTCCGACATTGTTGATTGCAGTTTTCCTTAAACTATTTCATGATGACGGATGTTTAGACAGTTTAGAGCTTTATTTTTGTTTGTGTCTGTGCTAATGTAAGTTCATCCAATTTTCGATATTGCAGTTTTCCTTAAATATTTCATACTTCCTGTGCATGCAGYTGTTACAATAAAGCCTTTTGTTAAACATTCACATACGTTTATTTAGTCTTATTAGTGCGACTTTTTGATAGGTCCTTAACAAAACAATTGGGAATATGTCGATTGTGATGTTTCCATTGACTTACACACGCAGTCGTACTAACAGAATTAAAAAACTCCTCTTCTCCCCCCATAGGAACTTAAGTACACTGATGTATGAAACAGGACGGTCATACACCGTTCTCATAATGGCTGACGAGCGCACGAAAAGGAGGCGACTCAGTAATCTTTCAAGGCAGAGCATGGCTGCTCATTCAAAATGAAGGTGGATAGCAGGAATTCAAAAAACAAAAGGTCAATTTCTATACTTTTCTTCCATAAACGCATTTCATATGCTTTTATATATATTATAAACTAATGACTGGATCAGTGACCTCGTTTTCGTGCACCATCATGAAAACGGTGTACATTACCGGTATGCAACTTTGCAACTAGATCTAAGAGTTCTCCTCGTGTGTGTAAGTCGGACGTGAAGCACTGAAGTAAACAAAACTGTTCTCAATCTTTCGATTCTTTAATTTCTTTTGGGAAGCATGCGTGTGTGACCTGCCTTTTACGGCTGTACGTTGTCACGGTTACGTCATCCTGCGCAAATGCACGCACCTTTCTTATGGAAATAATGGGTAGTGTGTGCTGCCTGTCACCAACTGTGATCATCATTGATTCAATCCTTAGACACGTTATTCTATATTACAGTAATGATGAAAAGGTAAATTATACACCGTGAAAAGATGAAAAAACTTA